ATCTGACTATTCTTTTTAAGAGGATAAGAGATATGACTGTATTTCATCTGCTTAAATGTTTTTGACTGTAAGAGTCTTGCGAAGGTTCTGCAGGCCAAAATCTCAACACCAGTTAAATATGCGACTGCATTTTCTCCTACTTAGTATTATGGAATGGAATCTTAAGTATGAAAGATGTCTTGTATAGTATGTCAAAATGTTGAGCAATATCACTTCAGCCTAAACACAGAAATGAAAAAAGAGCAGATGATTTCCCTTTTGCTGTAATTCACTTTGGGATGCATGTCATGAAGAGCACTATACAAAAGCAATTTTCATTGATTGACTGACTGATTGAGGAAAAGGGTGAATGTTCTTTCAGCTTAAGTCCCTCCTGAAGTATGATTTTTATCGCTCCTGACAGCTCTTCACAATGTAGTTAAATGCCATGTTAGCAATAAATAAATAAATAACATAATATAAAAAGGAAGGAGGAAAAAGGGAAAGAAAATCACAATTAGAATTTCTTTTGAATTTCAGTACAGTTGACTTGAGCAAAATAGATAAATAGATGTGTGTAAAATAAATTCAGTTATAGATATTTGTAGCTGTAACTATGTGTGATAACACATAGTTATAGATACAGAGACTTAATGACCAGTGATGAAACTGAAAAAATTTCACATAGAATTGTTGTCTTCTGAATTACCGTAGCAGATCCATGTCTTATCTGCTACGGATGAGTAGTAATTAGTAATCTGATCACTGTTACTGTTGGTCTCTTTTTAAATTTTTAGTTTATCCTTCTAATAACATAAAAATGCTTGGGGAATTTCCCACCTTAATTTATGTAAACTAGGTTTTTTTCAAGTGTTAGGTCAAAGCAGTGCTGGTGAAGCAATCGTTTTTACTTCAAATAGATTCATTTACATGGATCTTCATACGGACTAAATTTTAATGCTTGCAAAGTTAGAGCTGTTTGCAAAATATGAAAAATGGCTTATTTGGAGAACATTTTAAAAAATATTGAAGCTTTAAAGCCACGTCGCAGGGCATAATAAACACATTTCCAGGTGAGAGGCACTTACAATAGCTTTCTCAGGCTGCTACATACAAACGAAAGGTCTGCAAGGGTGCTGGAAAGGCTTTATGTAGGTTCATGCTTCCTTTACTATGGAAGCTCGAGGAGATAACTTTTGCAATTTGGAATTAACATTCCTCACGCAATTATGCTTCCAGCAAAATAGGCCCAGGTTGTGGGGAAAAACAGTTCAAACTAGTAAATAATTGCTGTATCATTGCATCAGTTTAGTTTAAAGAGCTGACAAACCCTCTCTAAACTCCAAGCACAATTAGTCATCAGGGTCTAGTTTTTCAGCACTGTTAAGCAATTTGTAATCCATTCCTTTTAATAGGGTTAGGCATTACTTAACCGACACAGATGCCTTGAAAACTGAAACCTCACGTTATGAAGCAGCAACCTTGTTCATTACCTTCTGTGATAGGCAAATCATCTATAAAAAACAGCATTTAATGGGCAACCAATGAATAATCAATGGCTCACTTTTCATCTGAGTGTGAAAATGAAAATAATCCAATACAAAATCCCACCGGTAACAGGCTGAATCTTGGGTTCTGCTGCTCTTCAGGGCTGATTTATAAGGTCTTGGAAAGCTGATGTAAACAGATGATCAATGGGACCCATCCCTGCTCATAATAACCCCCAACTGGCCCACTCCCTCTTTTTCAAGTCCATCCCTTCAGGCTATTAGTTCTGTCCAGCTAATTCTTCCCACTACTCCTGCCTGCTGCTTTTACTCTGGCCATCCGTTCAGTCCAGCCGACTCAGAAGTAATTTTATACGCAGCAGAGAGCGGGTGGAATTGATTTTTCACTCAGCGCTCTGTTCCCATCTGAATAATTATCAATTTTACTGCCTCATAAAGGGAAGAGTCAAAATTTCAAATCAATTCAAAAGAGCTTTTGAGACGACAGAAACTGTGCATAAGAATAGAGGTCAAAGTTGTCAGTGACCTAAGGAGATGATGTCAGATATTACTATACCTAATAGCTGACATCAGAGCACTCAAGATGATATAACCTAGTGCTAATGCAAATCATATTTATGCTGACTACCAGAGCCTGGTCATTAATATTTAAAATGCTATCTGAAAGCCTACATTCCAAATAAATAGAATGTATTCCACTGTTGATAAAGATATATCACTACTTAGTCATATGCTATCAAGTGAAGGATTACCAAGTATTATTAACACACAGAGATTACTTAAACCAACAAATGCATGGTAATTCTGAGTAAAGACAAACTTGATTTGTCTCCTGCTCAACCACATTACTTGCTTTGCAAAATCTGATAGTATTTTATCTAGGGCCATAGCCCATTGATTTTTGCTAAAATTTTCCACCAACTTAAAAGTTTCTGCCAAAGTTTATGGGACAATACTGTGATTATGGCTGAGTGCTGGCAGGAGTGATTTGGTGGTGGACTTGTGCCTTGCCATGGCAGGGTAGGTAAAGGCCGGGTCTAATTTCTAGCCAATCTGTGAATATTTACTTCTTTTCAGTGGGGACATGCTCTAAGCCAGTGATCCTCAACCTTCTCCATGCAAAACACACGAGGGCTGTGACCCACTCCCACCAGTACCAGTGGCTACTGCATTTGGGTGGGGTGGGGAGGGAGGAGAGACGCACTGACATTTTGATAGAATGTAAAATGAAAAGCCATTCCAGGTGAACCTGAGATATTATCCTTGCCTTGAATATCAATGGGGTGAGTAGTAAGGACTTGGACTTTTGAGTCAAACAGACCTTGATTCAAATTCCAACTCTACCACTTTCCAGTTGATCTCTCTGTACCTTGGTTTATTCATCTGTACAATGGGGATGCTGATATCCACTTTTCAGGGTTGTTGTGGGGTCTAAATAAGGAGAATTCTCTGACAATATTCCCCTTGTATTTTACTTTGTCGTCACTATATTAATGAAATTATCAAATAACTGTGAGTTACTTGTCTCTTTGTCCCATGACAAGACATTTTGTAAGGAGAGAAATTATTTCTTATGAATCTTAATAACTCTTGAACCTGGCACATAATAAATTCTCACTAAATGTGAGGTACCTTCCTTTTTCCTTTATATTACTAAGATGTTGCAACAGTTCCAGGGTCACACCAAATAGTTATAGGTCTACAACCCTTTGCCTAGTTACACAAAATATGAATGGCACCCATTATCCCTGGAAAATAACTGGTTAATTGAAACATTACCATGAATAAAGTTTACATAATTTCATTTAAATACCAGCAAAAATGACAGCCAAGAAGGAAACTTCTTTCATAGCTGTCTCTCAGTCTATTTTCATCATTTACTGATATAAAGTGACATTTTCTTTTTTTTTTTTTTTTTTCTGAGACAGTCTCACTTTGTTGCCCAGGCTGGGGTACACTTGTATGATCTTAGCTCACTGCAACATCTGCTTCCCAGGTTCAGGCGATTCTCCTGCCTCAGCCTCCTGAGTTGCTGGGACTGCAGGCACATGCCACCACGCTCCACTAAATTTTGTATTTTTAGTAGAGACAGGATTTCACCATATTGGCCAGGTTGGTCTCGAACTCCTGACCTTGTGATCTACCTGCTTTGGTCTCCCAAAGTGCTGGAATTACAGATGGGAGCCACTGCGCCCAGCTGACATTTGGTCCCTAATGATCATATAGCAACACACTATTGAAGTGTTTACGTTTGCAAATTACAAACTTATGGATAGAATTTGGCAAAAGAAAACAACTGAAAACAGGATTAAGATACTTTCCAAATTTAGTGGAATTAGAAAATATGTGATGGGGCCAGGCACAGTGACTCACACTTGTAATCTCAATACTTTGGGAGGCTAACGTGAGAAGACTGTGTGTAATCAGGAGTTCAAAACCAACCTGGGCAATGTGGCAAAAAGCCTGTCTCCACAAAAAAAGCAAAAAAATTGGCTGGATGTGGTGGTGTGCACCTGTAGCCTCAGCTACTCAGGAAGAGGCTGAGGTGGGAGGATCGCATGAGCCCTTGAGAGCCAGAGGCAGAGGCTGCAGTGAGCCCAGATCGCACCACTGCACTACAGCATGGGTGACAGAGTGAGACCCTGTCTCCAAAAAAAAAAAAAAAAGAAAGAAAGAAAATATGGTCATGGCATGGCCATAAAAAATGGTATTGTTCTCTTTAAAATATTTTTGGCATGCATATTTTTTAATTTTTAAATTTTCTTTTTTAGAGATGGGGTCTTGCTACGTTGCCCAGGCTGGTCTTGACTTCTGGGCTCAAGCAATCCTCCTGTCTCTGCCTCTGGAGCAGCTGGTACTACAGGTACCGCACCTTGCAATATTCATTTCTTATGCATGCCATTACTGTGATTTGCACAAGTAAGTTTTTAAAAATGGTATTAAACTTGGACCTAACCCACTAGCTAGTTAGAAAATACATTAGAAAATAAACATATTGCAGCTTTATTACTTGTTAGTTAGATGTTACTGGACATATTACCTAACCTATCTGAACCAAGATTTCTCATTTTAAAATGGGAAAAATACCAACTATGATATGATGAATGAAAAGTTCCTAACAAGCTACCTGAAATACACTGGGATCCCAGCAAATTGTAATTTCCCAGTATACAAGAGTATTCACAAGGCAAACTTTAGATGACATTATCAGAGCCTCCAGGAGAGAAATCAGAGGCTGTTTCCAGTTCCAGTTTTGTCTAATCTTTCTCAGACCTCTGGAAAAACTATCCTCTTTTGAATTTTAGCTCCACTGAAGTGCGATGAACAACCCAGGTATTTCTTGAGGGTGGGTAATCCTAAGGCCTGTGTTTTTTCCCACTTACAAGGAAAATACTCCCAGATAATAACTGGTAAAAAGTCTTGGCAAGACCAGCTACTCTAAGATACATTCAGGGCCAAGTATGGCTCCTGGGAACCTTTGTTTCTTAAGCTAGGTGACCAACCACCAGTTACCTGCTGCAGGACATCTGGGTTTTGCTGCATAAAATGAAATAGTCTCTGACCAGCCTGGGTAGCCTCTCTGCATCGAAGTGGCTTCTTGCCCTCTTTTGCTATGTGCTTGAAGAGGTACGTGACGATGGAGTCTAAACTGGTACAGCAGCTGGAGGAGACAACTGTATCTGTACAAATAATAAATAAGAATTCATTTGCATCACTGAAGTTTTTGCTTCATTTGATTATATAATGGCTCCATTAGAAATAATTACTTCCTGATTTCAAAGCGCTTGCATCAAATTGCAAGTTCTTTGAGGGCAGGATTTTTTTTTTTTTTTTTTTTTTTTGAGGCAGAGTTTCATTATTGCCATTACTGGAGTGTAATGGTATGATCTCAGTTCACTGCAACCTCTGCTTCCTGGGTTCAAGCCATTCTCCTGCATCAGCCTCCTGAGTAGCTGAAATTACAGGTGCCCACCACCACGCCTGGCTATTTTGGTATCTTTAGTAGAGATGGGGTTTCTCCTTGTCGGCCAGGCTGGTTGAATTCCTGACCTCAGGTGATCCACCCGCCTCGGCCTCCCAAAGTGCTGGGATTACAGGCGAGAGCGACGTCATACCTGGCCAGGAATCTGTCTTATATAACTCTTTGAACTCAGTGTCTATTATAGGGCCTGGCCTAGAGACACATAAATAAATAATTCCTGGATTGAATTAGGCAGATTTTTCCATTTGTGACCTTAACAACCTCTGTTCAGTTCAAGTGACTGTTTATTAAGTATCTACTTAAAGTCTCTGTTTTACAGGAAACGGTGGTCTAACCCTGTCCTGGTGTCAAAAAACTCATGGTTTAATATGCAAGTCACTGTAGGATAATGCTGTATAAAAATGACAAATTGAGGATTTTGAGGGGGAGACCACATTTACATGGGGATCAAGGAGAGTTTGCTGAAGGAGGTAGCGCCTGATATGGGTTTCAAACGATTATTCCAGTTAGACATAAGGAAGGATACTTTTCAGGTAGGGGGATTAGCACAAGGCAAGAGTGTGGTGGGAAAGGTATGGATTTTGGAGCCAGACAGTTCTAGTTTCAAGTCCCATCATTGCCAATTACTTGCTGTGTTGCTGATTGGAAAGAGCTACTTCACTTTCTTTCACCATTTGTAAGAGACCTTGCAGAGTTGAATGAGAAGAAAATGACAAGAAGTTCATTAGTAATAAAAATAGCTGACATTTATTAAGAGCTTACTATGAGTTACTGTGTTAACTGCTTTATACAAGTTATTATTTTTAATTCTCATACAACACTATAATAGTTACTGTTATTATCTCCATTTACAGATAAGGACACTGAGCTCTAGAGCGCTTAAGTGACTTGTCCAAGGTCACACAGCTAAGCTATGAAAATAAACAAGGAGTTAGACTCTGGAGCTCTACTCTTTTAAAAAATTTTCATTGTATTTTTAATTTTTTTATTCCAATAATTTTTGGGGAATAGGTGGTTTTTGATTACATGAGTACGTTCCTTAGTGGTAATTTCTGAGATGTTCGTGCACCCAACAACCAAGCAGTGTACTCTGTACCCAACGTGCCGTCTTTTATCCTTTACCCCCGACCTTCCTTCTGCCTGAGTCCTCAAAGTCCACTGCATCATTCTCACGCCTGTGCGTCCTCATAGCTTAGCTCCCACTAACAAATGGGAACATATATTTGTTTTTTCTGGATCTCTATTCTTAACCACTATGTTAAAACTAGGTAATAAGCAAAAATGTATGTAAGCACCAAACACCTTTTTGTTGTTGTTGAGATAGGGTCTCACTCTGTCACCCAGGCTGGAGTGAAGTGATATGATCTTGGCTCACTGACCTTGGCCTTGACCTCCTGAGCTCAAGCAATCCTCCCACCTCAGCCTCCCAAATAGCTGCAACTGTGGGTGTGCACCACCATGCCTGGCTACTTTTTGTATTTTTTGTAGAGATAGAGTTTTGTCATTTTGCTCAGGCTAGTCTTGAACTTCTGAGCTCAAGCAATCTGCTAGCCTCGGTGTCCCAAAGTGCTGGGATTATATGTGCTACCATGTCTAGGCTAAAACACCTTCCTAAATCACAATGGGCACTCAAAAAATGGCAGTAACTACTAGTTTGCTTTATGGTAAAAAGAGAAGGGCATATTCTAGAAGTAGGCCGGGCATGGTGGCTCACGCCTATAATCCCAGCACTTTGGGAGGCTGAGGCAGGCAGATCACGAGGTCAAGAGATCGAGACCATCCTGGCCAACATGGTGAAACCCTGTCTCTATTAAAAATACAAAATTTAGCTGGGTGTGGTGGCATGTGCCTGTATCCAGCCTGGCACCTGGAGACAGAGTGAGACTCTGTCCTCCCCCCACCCAAAAAAAAAAAAACAAAATGCAGAACTTTTGCTTTGAGATAGCAAATATGTAGAGGAGATGTAAGAGAAGGCTGGCAGAGCGGGTTGAGGGTCTTATTTGAGGGTATCCAATAGTGGACAGAGACATTTACATCTAATCTAGACGGTTAACGCAGGTGTTACTGACAAGTAAGTGATGACAGAGTAACCATTTATTATCTCCTTTGTACACTAAAATTATTATCTCACTTGTAACAACTACTTTATAAAGTATAATTTGCATTTCAAATGAGAAAACTGAAGCTTAGAGATTAAGTTGCTTATCAGAAGTCCGTGGTTTTGAATCAGCATGACACAGCCCACATTTTTTGGCTAATAACATTTGGACGTGATCCCTGGGCGTTTATGATTAGTAAGAAAAACAGTTAACCAGAGCAACAATTAAAATGGTGAATGGGTAGACTCAAGAGGAGAAGTAGATTAAGAGAGCAGGGTTGAGAAGCAGATTATAAACTTTCTAAGGGAATAGTTTCTCATTCATCTTATTCATCTCTGAGGTTCTGAGACATAGGTTTGCCTGACATAGATTCGAGGTGAAATATCAGCAGAATTAATTAAAGAATGAGTAGCTAAAGCTGACCTCAGAAAGTTTTCCTAGAAGGTCTTGAGTTGTGTTTAATAATAATACCTAGCATTGATATAACACTATAGTTTAAAAACTCAACATATATCACTTTAGAGAGAAATGCCATGGAAAATAGAAAGAGGGAAGTTTTGGGGCAAGTTTTGAAATACCGTCATATGCATTTAATACAGAGGAAAATGGTAGCTAATTCGGGATCATGAGGGATGAGGGGTTGAATGCAGGTCTAAAAGACGGCCATGGACCACAGTTTTGGAAAACTGTGGAACTACAAACGAGCTTTTCCAAAGGTTGGTAAATGGATACAAAAGTATAGCTAGATAAGAGGAGTAAGTTGTAGTGTTCTATAGCCCTAATAAGGTGACTATAATGAACAATTTGTTATATATTTTCAAGTAGCTAAAAGAGCAGATTTTGAATGTTCCCAACCCAAAGAAATGATAAATATTTACAGTGATGGATACCCTAAATGGTCATTATACAACACATACATCAAAATATCACATTACCCTGTAAATATATAAACTTATCATGCACCAATTAAAAAATAATAAAAGCCAAAAATAGAGCTTTTTTCCCCCCTCCTAAAGACATGGCATTTGACTGATTAATCAAATAACTGATTAATTAATTAGTTAATTTATTCTTCATCTTTCCCTATTAACTGGGTTACTTTGTAGAAAAGGGAGCTTTGGTTTTATAACCCTGGGACGTAGAATAGCATAGCGGAAACTGGCTAGGCCTAAGAGTCAGACATGGACTTGTTGAGCCTGGTTGCTTTTTTCTTTTCCTTCATATTTCTACATTTGAAGTCCCAATCATGAAAGTAAATGGATTAAGTAACTTGACATCTACAATGATAAGCAGGAAGCAGATATGGTTCCCCTCACCAGTGAAGAGCAATATGCTATCAATCACATAAAATTATAAAGACTTCGCATAGATTTGGTGACCACATGCCATGCAGGTTGCATTAAAAGGTTCCAATCTACTGAGTCAGCTGTGAAAAAGCCAGGTAAACACTTTAGACACAAAGATTGGAGCATATATCCTTGCGATAAAAGCAAGAAGAGCTTCCATTATGGTTGATTTATGGTTGAGGACCTTGAAAAAGATAAATGTTATTTCAGGGTAGATTTTAAAGTGTGGAATTGTAAGGATCACAGGGCATTTAGTCAAAAACAGAATGAATGGTGCTGAAGACCATGTATAACTATTGGTTTTCTTTATCTGCAGCTCAAGCTACTATGTGAGACTCCAATAATGACACTTTCCAGACATAAAATATAGGCAGAAGTCAGAAATTGTCGCATTTTGTCCTAGTTCTTGGTATTTAAAATATTTTTAAACAGCTTACATCTGTAATTTTGGAAATAATTTTTAAGCCTAATTGGCATTTTGTCCTCTTTAGCAACTTGTAGTTTGGCACTGAAAACAGTCAAGTAGCCCCCTTCTCCTGAAGCCAGTCTCTACAGGAAACACATGCATCATTAATCGTTGACTGCTCACTCAGACCTATCACCGAAAGCAGTGCTGAAAAGTTACTGTACAGGAAAGGAGTGCTTAACCGAGAGTCAGGGAGAATGAGGCTAAGCTGAAATCTGCCTTCAGCTCAAAACCTGTCACCACAACACAAAGAGTGAAGGTCTTAGAAAAATACAGTCTGAAGGGCAATTTCAGAGACAAAAGGCCTATTTGGGTGGTGCAGTGGTTTTGGAAAGAAATGAGTCTAGGTTTGAATGTATTATTTCCTAGAGGTGTGACTTCTCTGAGCTTCAGGTGCACCTTTGTAAGATGTGATTCATATTGCCTACTTTGTAAGGTATGGCATTAAGATTGTGTCCAAAAACTGTAACACAGCACCCAGCTCATAGAAGTGTTTCCCTTCCCATTTGTTTTCCTGGCTATTTCAATGCTTTCAACACCAAAGCTCTCTTCTCTCTTAGTTTTTTTTGTCTTTTTTGGGAGGTGTGGGGGGTGAAACTAATGTGTAAAATCTCTAAGTTCTAAATATTTCCTAAATGTGTCACCCTCGTATTACATTCATACCACAGGGCATCCAATTCAGTAGTGTGTTCAGAGTAACAACATATCCTCTTTTATTCTTGATATAAGTTGTATTAATAATGAACTTCATGGGAAATGATCTCGTAGTTCCTAGTTGGTTCAACTT